GGTACTTTCCTGCTTCATCTCGTTACACCAAGGGTCAAACGTTCGAGGCTCATGCGAGCGAATTCCTGGAGATGTGATCCTGGATGAGTTGCGGATGGGGCCATGCAGTTTGCAGTTCCTTGTAATACCGCCAATTTGGCATGCTCGACCATTTCTGCGGTTTGCTTCCGGCACGGTCCAAAGACACCCTCTTTCGGCCACCATCTTCGATCTTACCCTCGCCGTCGCTAGCCCAGGATCCCAACATCCACCCTTCTCAAAACATCCAACACAATTTGCCTCTGCCCCTCGTACGCAAACTCAATCCGCCTCCCGTCACAAACCCCTGAGACAACGTCCTCCTCCGTTGCCCAGACCGCATCAACATGTTCCTCCGCATTGAGCTGCACTGGAGGCAGCTCTGTTGCTTCTAATTCCACCAAGAACGTAATCTTTCTCCACCTACTTTGATCACTGCTCCCCAGGAACTCCAGCGTGTCGATCACATCCACCACGTGCTGCACGTGTAGTCCCGTTTCCTCGTGCACCTCGCGGCACAGAGCGTGCAAGATTGAGGAATCAGTCAGGTCGACCCCACCGCCGGGACATTCCCACTTGAGAGGGAAGCCGTCGTGTGCGGCGCGTTGGATGAGGAGGACGCGATTCTTGTGAATGACAACGGCGCTTGCGACAAGGCCGGTCAAAGAAGTATGTGCGGAAAAAAATGCTGTAGGTGAAATGTTGTATGGTGCGAGTGAGGAACAGAAAGTAAATGGGGTGTTGAGACACATGTTGATTGGTCAATGGCCTCAGTTTGGACCTGGATGCACGGGGTGATGGGCTTAGGTTGGAGACCGATGAGGTGGTTAATGCGGTGTGCAGCCCAGGACTTTTGCTCGGATTGTGGGCTATGACGGACGGAGCGGACAATGCCGAGTGAGCTCTGTCGAGCTGTTGCGAAGGTTTTGAGGTTTTATCTGCAGGTTTTACGCACCAAAGGATTCCACTAATCCCAACAAAATGTTGGAGCCTGAAGCCACTGCCACGTAATCGCCCAGGCAGTCGCAATCCGCTGGTGGATGAACCGCAAGTCGTCCATGATGCGAACCTTGAGACAACACTCCAGCAAAAGGTAATACGGCTAGCTCAGCGCTTGCAGTATTCCAATTCTAGGAGTCACACAACTCTTTTTGGGAGAAGCTTGAGGTGTGGCACAGAAACTCGGTCGACAAGACAACGGACGGACTCTTAGTTACTACCTAAGTTCCTGCATCTGTTCTGGTTTGGATTGGTAGAAGTTGGGACGGAGGCGGCGCACCACGTGAGACACGGCGTTCCTAACATCTTGAAGATAGGGGGGTTACAGGCTGAAGAATGCTCCATATGAGTGCATAAGAAATGAAAGGCTTCTGCTGAATCGGATCCTGAGCCCTCAGCCATTTTCATCAAGCCATGAACCCCTGAACCCCTACATGGGGTGCACTCCGCCTGGAATTGAGTCAAGCCCTGGAGACAGTCAGATTTCTCCTTTCCCGTGAGCTCGGTTACTTACAGCCTTCGACGTCCTCTGTGACAGTCTGTTGCTTTTGGCATGCAGTGGCCTCCTCGGGGGTCTGTGTCTTGAGGACAGAGCAGCGGTCACCAGTGCAACGGGCATCGAGAGCGCGCTGCAAGGAATCGCCCTTCCAGCCAAAGACATAGTCGCCGTGTTGTCCGAACCCAGTACTATAACAGTCAGCGCTGAGGCATTTGTTTCCGAGGACTTCTCTGAGAACTCACGCATCGCCCATGGAGTACACAAACGGTTGGCCCGATTCAGGCCACAGCGAGTCGAAGACAGTTGTGTTCCACATGATTTCAAACATCAGCTGCGGAAGCCGAACGGGGTGGCTAGCGGGACATGGACCGGTCGACTCGAAGCTCCCGCTGCTGGGATAAGCGACATGAGACTTGTGGTCCGGGCTGTCAGTGTTGCGGCCATCCCAACATCTATCAACGGCTGTAAGACTCTAATCTGTTTCCCCAGGAGTAAGCGACCTACGTCGGAAAGGTGATGGTGGTTCGGATGCCGCCAGGGCAGGGCTTATTGGGGAACGCGGCCGTATCTTCACCGGTACATGGGGCGCCTCCAAAAGGAGACTGCTCGAAATTGTGTTCGCAGCGGTGGCAGATCTGCTTCTGCATACCTCTCTGGGTGCGCAGAACCGGGTCGCCCACCAGCATGCGGAATCCCTGACTGATCAGTACTTTTGTTCTCTCTTCATACGTGTTCTCGTTTTGCTTTCTTGGGACAGGGAAAGTAGAAGCGTGTGGGAGGGTGTTACCGGTTTGAACGCTGTAACCTTGGTCTTTCCATCATACGGGGGGATATAATACACCGTGACTCCTTGAGACCCCTTGAGCCCCAAGTTGACCATCTGCGGCACGCGCTTGTAACTGCCATTCTTTGCGCGGAAGTACATATTGGCTGTCCAGTAGTTGCTGAAGTCTTCCGAAAACGAGCAAGTGGTGCACGTCGACTTCTCCGCAGGGTCGTAATCCACGGGGGTCATGGTGGCATTGAAGGAGTTTCCGCCTACAATCTGGTGGACGTGTGTTGACTGTAGCATGCCAGGATTGACAAGGGGATCCAGACGCTCAATTACCAGCTGGGAGCACTGGAAACGCATCATAGCAGCCGTCGCAAACTGTGCGACAACTTGCTGGACGCACAGCACCGCCGCGGCGCCGAAAAGGAATGTCTTCATGGTCGCCGCTGTTTGGAGTATAGTCATATGCGTACACATTGATGGTAGGTCCCGCGAAGAAGAAATGGTAGCTGAAGTAGCCGGGCTCAAGTCAGTGAAAGAGAGACGTGCCGCGCAGAACGGGTATAACTTACCATTGGGTACTAACCTTGGCTTGCTCCCAGACAGACTTGGTGATTGTGATGGCAAAGAGCAGGCTGCCGGTTTTGCGGATCTGGCAGATCCTGCCGCAAAGAACTGCCGTGTATTGTGCCGTGTGGTGGTTAAATAGGGGTTAAAGAATGATAGATCTTATTGGATCACAAGATCTCGGCCGCGTACTCGGTTCAGGTGCAAGTCAACATCTCATAAATGATCCGATGTATCGTGCCGAACCCCCACTCTCGGTCTTTATTCCTGACCGAAATTAGATATCGGACACTCGAGAAACGATCACTCATTGCCCGCTGATCGGCACAAGATCCCTAGCAGCTACAAGCGGCCGGATCGCCGCATTTCAGTTCTTGAAGACTATTAGCAAACACGTCTTCCTGTCGGGCAGCTGCTCTTTTGCCATGACGAACGGGAAGTAGCTGGTATAAACTTCAACGTTGGACCAAGCATGGCTGCATCCACCCCTTTACATATCGTGTCATCGTGCAACTGGTCAGAGAAGGCATAAACCGAGTGGCAAGGCAGTCAAATTTGCTCCTTCTTCTACAAAGCATAATTGCGGTCTAATCTCTTCTGCTTAAAAACCCTTTGCCCTGTTCACTCACTTCTGCGGTGAGCTTTGACCATTGTCACAAACCAACCACCTAAGAACGGTACCAACGGTTCAGCTATCTGCTTGATTTACTTGAGAGCTGTAGTCTGGTTACACTGCGTAAATGAAAGGAGATATATTGTGGCTCAGGGGCTAGGTATACGCTCTGATTCTCATGCGTGTCCGCTCGTGCTTTTCTACCCGGTACGTGCCTACAATTGTCCCAATATGCATACTCTGTTCGTGAGAACCAGCCTGGTGGCGCTTCTCACATATGAAACCATGAGAGTAGTGCTTGCCCAACGTTTTCACCGATACGCAAGGGCCGTAGAGCCCCCTGGAGCCTCTCAATCCGTTCATAAACTTTACGCTAGGGAGGAGGGGCTGGGTCAGTGGTTCCCCCCCACCCCCACCCCCCCCCCCCCCCCTTTCTTTCCTGGCGTGGTGCCTCTGATGAAGTTCCACAATTCCAATATAGAGGGCTAGGACGATACGCCCAAGTACCGGGAAGCCATAGGCATATACGTCGACATCATGGGTCCTGCTTTCGTTGATATCAACAAGGCAAGACAGTGGTAGTACCAAAAATCTTCTGCTTGTAAACCTGGAACATAAGTCATATATATCAAAGAGCATGTAGGAAAGTTGGGTGCGAACAGGTGCATCGCCCGAATTGGGGAACACGGGCGGGACCAAGCGGCTTTTCGTCGCAGGGGGAAAGACCTCCTAGGGGCGCGGCATTGAGTCCGCCTCGAGAAACAAGGCTAAAGAACCCAAGGAGATACCGCCCGCGCGCCGTCCTCCGCGCGACTTCATTTGCCAAAAGCTGGTCACCAGGCAGCCGGTAGCGCCAAACCTGAAAATGCTGTAGGACGTCGCCTGACGGCGAAGCTGCAGTTGATGAGGATAGCCAGGTGACTCAAGAAGTTCTTGATCAATATTTAGCCACTGGTCGGGCTAAGCGGTTCAAAGGCAACGAGGCCATGGTGGAGGATGCCACCGACAGTGGCAAGCTAGCCGGTGAGGAGGCTGCCAAGTTGGCTGCGCAAGAGGACACAAGAAGCAGGCCAAGAAAGGGGAGGCTGCCAATCCAGCAGCCGAAGAAGCTGGCAAGTTGGTTGAAATAGAGCAAGCCTGAAAGCGGTGGGAAAAGAGGAGCCCACCAAGCAAGAAGAGGAGGAGACAGCTGATCTTGTGGCCAACGAGATGGAAGATGCTGCTCAACCCGCCCTTTCAAGCATAAAGAGGCGCCGAAAGGAATATGAGGATGAAAAGAAGATGAGGAGGAAAAGAAGGAAAAGAAGGAAAAGAAGGAAAAGAAGGAAAAGAAGGAAAAGAAGGAGAAAGTTGGGGGGGGAGGAGCGGAAAGAGCGGGAAAAGAAGGAGAAAGGAAGGAAAAGAGGGAGGAAAAAGAAAAGAAGGAGAGGATCGTATAGATAAAGACACTATGCAGAATATAATGAGGGACATTAATTCGGTAGGTGTCAGCAGCAACCCTAACCCTACCGCAAGTGACAACACTTGCTCAGTCTTCCGTAGTATAGTGGTCAGTATGTGAGCTTTTCAACCACAAACGCTCGAGAGCCGGGTTCAATTCCCGGCGGGAGAGTACAAATCCTTGTCCTTTTTTTTCGCATTATCCTATCGCTCTCTTTCGCCCTTGCGACCTTCCAGCTCCCGCTTGAATTTCGTCCCTCTCTCCCTCCCTTGCCTGGACTCTGGCAGCCTGCAGATCAGGGCGGCTGATATGAGCCTCCCTTACGGGCCAAGATCAACCACTTTACGGGTGTCCGGGTTCTTCACGCCCGACCTCAAATTCGTATATGGCATGAAATGTGATGACTTCCAGGTCTTTGGTCGCACGTTTCGTGGTCAGCTGCATGACTCTCTGGCCTAGGGCTTACCTAGGGCTTACAAGCGGGTGGTTCTATCGAGAAACTTGGAAAGGTGTCTGAGGACTGTTGTCAGTATGATTGAATCTGATGCGGCTCAAGTGGCGTGCGTTTGGTGAGAGAAGGTGGAAAAATAGCGCCAAATGCATGTGGCAGTCCTGATCTCGCACCGATATCCAACTTTGGCGTTGGGGGCGGAGTCGGTGGCCGAGTCGGTGGCCTCGCAGGACTGCCGCTCTTGAGTGGGTCTGCTGCTCTCCTTCGCGCCTCAGCTCCGCGCAGCTACCCGAACCCAGCGTTGTCTCGCGCCGAGTCCCAGCCGCGCGGGCGGCCAGCGCATGCCAAGCGCGTATTAGACTGCATGGCTCACCCAATGCAGAAATGCGCTGATCAACAAGAGCAATGCAGGGCTGGAGATCGGTGGGATTTAAGAAGGCGAGCGCCCCTCACAGGGGTCAAGCCAAACGCCTCAAGCCGTCTTACATTACCTACATACCTTAGTGCAATGAGACGAGATGGCAAAACCCACCGAGCTCGCAACCCTCTGGGTTAAGCACCACCAGTGGGAGGCGCCACCCATCAAGGCCACACGGGTTCTCGAGCAAGAACACCCTCACAGGCGATCATACGTCCCGCGCACTCACGCCCGCCCAAAACGCTTGAGCAAAACGGAGTGTCGCGAGCTCTTCAACGCCACCAACTCCTTACCGAGCATCCACGTCCACGGCAGCGCATGCCGCTGCAGCGAAACCCAGACCGAGAATCAACTGGAGGATACCCTCCTCGCAGAGCGGATATCATCCCTCACTCAGACCCTTCTCATCACCGCCCCCACCAGCCCCAGCAAGCCCCCACCTCCCCTTCGCCATGGTCCCCAGTTTCACCGGCGCGCACCACGCTCGGGCGCCGGTATCCTCTCAACCCTGACCCGCCTCTTCTCCTCGCCGCCACGGCCGTCGACCGCATCCTCCCCGCTGCAAGCTGACCTTTGCGTCGGCTGCGCCAACCTCGACATCGACAAGGTAGCGCGCTACCTGGTGCTTGATCCCTCCCCTTTGCCCGTTGACGTGCCCAACCACTTGGGAATATCACCCTTAATGGCAGCTGTGCGGTCACCCGCCGCTGCCACCCGGCCGAAGGCACATCTTGAGATGGTGCGGTTCTTGGTCGACGTGTGCGGGGCAGATGTCGAGGGCGTCAGGGTGGATCGAGTGACAGGGGCGGGGGAGAGTGTGCTGAGCATGGCGTGTGAGGTGGGAGCGGTGGAGGTGGTGAAATTCTTGATCGCAAGGGGAGCTGAGGTGAATAGAAAATTGCCCTCCGGGGCGGGAATGGGGAAAGGGATGTCTATGGGACGAGGGCGGAGCGCGCTGCATGTTGCTGTGCTGGCAGGAAGTGCAGAGTGTGCTGCGGTCTTGGTAAAGGAAGGCAAGGCGGATATCCATGCTGTGTTTGATGCGTCGACCACAAGGTGGGAAGATAGGGCTGGAGCGGACGGAGGCTTAAAGGGGCTCCGAGGGGGTACAAGAAGTCCGTCGAGGGAGGTGAGAGGGAAACGGCCGAGGAACCCGGTCACGGCGCTGCACCTTGCTCATGGCAATGATGCATGCACCCGAATTCTTTTGGCCTGTGGCGCCAATGTCGGCGCGAAAGACGGCAATGGCCGGACGCCACTCCATTGGGCTGCTGGGACAGCCAGCTTCGACGTTGTCCGGTTACTGATCAACGCTGGAGGGGACATCAATGCGGCTGCGAAGGATGGCCTCACACCGCTGGCTATCATGCTCACTTTTCTTGAAGACGAGAAGATGAACCAAAAACAGGTTGGAATAGCAAAGCTTTTGTTCCGGGAAGAGATGGACACAAGAATCGAGGACCGGGATGAGAAAACGAGAACGGAACAGCCGGTGCCGTTGTAGTCGAAGTTGGATAAAGAGTCTGGACAAACAAGAATGATACCATGTTCCGTTCTGTGCTTGGGAACTCTACACCCGGTGAATGAGATATTGTCGCTGGTTGAGCCAGTGTTTGAGTTTGTTTTGTCCCTGTTTTGTCCCTGATGCTACCCACTGCGAACACTTCCTCACAGAAATGCCCAGTGAGACGGGCACACGTCGTGAGTCAACTATATTACTATGTGCTCAAGACAGGATGCTCGAAAACGATGTGTTGCAAGATACACAAAATCAAACGGCCTCTTGCGCTTCGGTTGCTAAACCTGGAAGTCTAGGTAGCCATCTCCCAGTTGAACAAACCACGCGCAGCTTGGCAAGTAGCAATATCATTGCGATGGAGCTAGAAGAGACCTGGCAGGAGCGTAAGTCACATCAGGTCTCAATCACACCAAATGCATTTTAACTTAAATAAGAGTCCTGTACTACATGCCTGCTGCTTTTCAGTCCGAGGTCTGTGGTTTGGTAAGGTAGCTCCCCTGGGGGTAGTCAATACACAGAACCTCGACTGAATGGGGCCGATTGGCAGTTCCCGCAGAACCATTCTGGACTTAAAGTAACCAGGATCCCCCCTGGCTAATGCCTAGCACATAAACACCCCCTCAAGGGTGCCACTAACGCTGAAACCTAAATCATACCAAGTTCATGATCGATCCAGGAGCGAGGGCGGATCAAGGGAAAACACAAAGAGACGCGTAGGCCAGCGAGACTGGTGTCTCGCGAAGCAGCGATTCTTACCCGTTCGAAGTTATACATGGTCTCCACCTCTCGTCACTCATTGTCAGTCCTCTTCATCATACCCCGTGGATATCCCGAGTTCCTCGCTGGCTGCAGTGCCACACTTGGGACAGGGCAAGCCCTCCACGATCCAGACCTCCTCGCCCTTTGCTGCGCATGTTTTGCAAAGAATGCCCGGTAGCTTGGAGGATTTAGTAAGCAGTATAGGACTCTCTTGAGATGGATCTCACCGGAATAGTTTTGATTCCTTCCTCGTTGAAGGCAACATAGGATGAGGGTTTGAGGACAAGGCCAAGATTCAAGGCGGAAGTGGTACACAGCGAGACAGCCGTGAACATGATTGTCGGACTTGGAAAACCAGTTTGTTGGTTTCGGAGCGGTTCCGCCTTGCAGGGTTGAGTGTATGTTGGAGTGTGGATGTTAGGGGAGTTTGACGAACTCTAACGGGCTGTTGACCTCATTATATACCTCACACCGCCACCCTCGGGTTATTCATCATCACCGCCCAGAGACCAGCACGGCCCAGCATGAGTGGGAGTGCAACAGCCGAGTATCGGCATGAAATGCCGACGCAAAGCCGTCAGAACCGAGGACCACGAAGCCATCCCCACGTATCCACGCCCACGCGAGAGACAAGTTTGAAAGCCAGGGAAGGTCAGGGGAGGGCCTCTACGGACAGGGGAAAGGCTAACCTGACAAACTGAACCCCCATGTGAACAGCAGAGTTTGCCGGTCGTTAGGGCGGGATATGGTCTGATGGTGTTGCGGCGGATGTCCATGCGCTGGCATCGAGAAGTCGACGACTTTCGTAGCTTGAGCATGCAGGGTTGCTCACCGGTCTCGCTAACGCATGGCTCGACTTGGTGGGGGTTGCAGTAAAATCCGCGCAAGCCGCCCGTTCGGTTTCCCTTTCTGGTCGAGATGGGCCCCTGCAAGACCATCATTGTCAACCAGCAGAGGTGTTCCTGGGCCCTGCCGCCCTGCCGCAAGCCCGGCAATTTTATTTCATGTCCCTGCCGAAGCGGAAGACCTTGGTATTGGTTGCATGTGATGATCAAGATCCAACACACCCGTCGAACCCCATCCAAACATCACCCACACGCTTCGTGGGTCGCTGGCCCGGCTGCAGCCCGATTTGGACCAACAACGGAGCAGTGGTGTGGAGTGATGTTAGTTCAACGCGCCGTCGAACGTTTGAGAAGGGGCAAAGTCTTGGGACCGCAGAGTGCATGTCGATCCTGCAGCAAGCCTGGGCTTGCAGCGACAGTTTTCTCGGGAATAGCCCGTGGATCGCGCTATCAGCCGAGTCATAGCACGCGCAGGCAAGGATCGCTCTGCCGCGTCCCCCCTGATGGCAGTAACTGGATGCAACATGACTGGTCCAGTGATCCTTGGCATTCCTCCATGGCTGCCAGATTGTAGACGTACATGTGCCCAAATCTCATGAAGGTGTCGAATGCGCCGAGTTGCCCGAACATTACATTTTGGTTGGGCATAAACCCCACGCCTAAGATCGACGAGCAACCCAGTCAACCATTCGCATTTGGCCTCACAGCAACCCAGGCGGCACGTCTCGGATCAAGACATTGGTTCAAAGAGCGAACGGTCCCAGGACCTTATATCGCCACCGGAGTTTTGTCTCCATAACACCATGTACCCGTCTGCAGCAAGGGTTGACGGGAGGATGCATGGCAACATCATACTGGTACGATCCAGTGCACCGCAGGGTGACAACCTTGGCAAACGGCTACGAGGCCAGGTCGAGGGCCGGAACCGACACTTACCGGTGCGGGCCCCGAAGGCATTCATGATGAGGTGCTCGGGGGCTATTCTCCCGACCTCTGTCCCATCCAACAAGACCACACTACACCACCAGCTGCTTGGCCACAGCCATGTGGTCCACTCAGCTCTTCCACAGTCTTTTATCTGCCCGTTGTCCCAGGTAGGGCACCAAGCGCCATTTCCGATTGCCGCTGTACCCATATTGACTCCCCATGAACATTAGTCTGCTGCCGTGACTGCATGTT